CCTCGGGGACCCTGCCTGATGTACCCCAGGCCCGGCTCCCATCTACCCCTCACATTCAGACCTGTGCAGAGGGTTGGGGGCAAGGGGTGGAGCTCAAGATGCAGAGAGAGGAGACGGGGCAGCGATGGGGAGCTGGATAAGGCTAGGAGCCAGCATTCCTGGCAGCTCCCAGAGCGTTTGAGACCCCAGAGGAGAAAACAAGATTCTATTGGCTTTAGAAACCTCCAATGAAAACCAGCAACCCTAAATTAATAAGTGTTTAATGAGATGTCTACAAAACATAATATTATGTCAAGTAGCTCAACTCAGCTCGTATATGGCTCTCTATAAATATAATGGATTTCACTCACAAGAACAGAATGAATTATTTATTCTAGCCCAAGTCCAAATAATAAAAATCTTTCCACATTTTGTAGCAGGGAGAGAATTCGATTTAAATGGGATGAGGGTGTGTTTAGGACAGGGTCTGATGCAGGATGCCTGGCCTCGGGAAGGTAGGAGGGTCAGCAAGTGGGGGCTCTTGGGCTGAAGTCACCCAGTGCATTAACTCGGGGCATCCACTCCCACCCCAGACCAGACCAGACCGCTTCCTCAGTCATGGGCACTGTCAGTTTAACCACAGAAGAATACGATAGTTAGGCATTGCTTCACTGTATTATGACTTCGTTATGTGAACACTAACCCTAAAATTGTACTGCAAAATCGTTTTACCTGGAATGACGTTATTCGTTACAATTAGTAATGGAACCTTTAAAAAATTTTTCTCCTTTAATTACGACTTCATTCTCAAAAAAAAAAAAAAAGCTATTGGCATACCTTCTCAAATTCCACGGACCACGGAGGTCTAGGTGAAGCACCAGGACATTTGACAAAAGCAGTGACCATAAATCACCTGCTGCACGGAAGGCGCAGGACCTGCTAGTGGGGCGAAACCACGTGATTGCAAGCAGCCTTGTAAGTGGGCACTACCTGGCCGCCCTAACTGAAGATTCTCACCAAGGTCCAAAGAGTAAATGAGCATGGAGTTTTAGCCTAGTGGATATAGGGAGGCAGGTAATCTGAGCTTCCAAACCATGTTTTTGTGGTTCTAACTTGCTACAGGGATCTTTTTATTTTTTAAAAAATGGTCTACTGACACGCTGCAGACTGACCATGTCCCCTAGTGCGCGCCTCCCTCTCCTCCCCTCGCTGGTGCCCTCGTGTATCTCGAGCCTGGAGGGAGGGGTCCGGGCGCCCCTGCAGGACGCGGTGGGCAGGCCGGGGGGAGCCCGGGAGCCCGCGGGAGTGGCCCTCGCTGCTTGGCCGCCAGGTGGGGAACTACAAGCGGACGGTGAAGCGCATAGACGACGGCCACCGCCTGTGCAATGACCTCATGAGCTGCGTGCAGGAGCGCGCCAAGATCGAGAAGGCCTACGCGCAGCAGCTCACCGACTGGGCCAAGCGCTGGCGGCAGCTCATCGAGAAAGGTGCAGTCCCGCCTGCCCGCCCCCCAAGCCTGGGTCCTCGGAGCCCCCCCCTCCCAAAACCCAAGGGAGGGGAGAGTGAGCACAGGCGTGCTCTCCCTGCCCAGACCAGGCTCACCTGTCCTGTGACACTGCCTCCTTAGAGTGTTTTAAGCCCCAGGAGAACAGACAAGGCGCACCTGTTTCGTTTGGCAGCTGTTGAAACGGAAAAGTTGCAGGAATAGTAGGGAGGAGTCGTGCAGGCTCCTCACCAGAATCCCCGCTTGATAACACCTGTCCACGTTTGTAGGACCGCTTGTCTTTGAGATGGGTCTTTTTTCTGACCCCTATGAGAACGAAATACAAGCATCCTGCTCCTTCACCCCTAAATTCTTCAGGTAGCTCACAAGAAGACCTTTCTTTGCAGAGCCACATTGCGGTGGTCGAGCTCAGAACACTTAAGACTGGTGTGTGTGTGTGTCTGCGTGCGTGCGTGTGTGTCTGCATGTGCGTGTGTGTCTGCTTGGGCTGGTCCAGTGGTCCAGGATCAGGAATGTGTGTGTGTGTGTGTGTGTGTGTGTGTGTGTGTGTGTGTGTGTGTGTCTGCTTGGGCTGGTCCAGTGGTCCAGGATCAGGAATGGCACTTACGTGTCTAGTGCCCAGATGAATGGACGGAGCCATCTGTCATGTTAGTTCTTCATGTTTATGTTCAGCTGCCCTTCCGGGAGCTCCTTGGGCCCGCCTGGTGTGCTGGGGTTGGAGAGCTCACGGGGTTCAGGTTGTCCCCCAGTGGAGTCCAGAAGCCGAAGGGGAGCAGTAGGTCTCGAGGAAGTATGTCAGGGTAGGGGGGGCTTCCGGGAGGAGGTGGGCTCTGGAGAATGGCTTGGGCAATGGAGAGACCCAAACCCACTGGCCGAGCGAATTTCTGACTCACAGTGACCCTCTAGAGCAGTGGTTCTCAACCTTCCTAATGCCGTGACCTTTCATACAGTTCCTCATGGTGTGGTGACCCCCCCAACCATAAAATTATTTTCGTTGCTACTTTATCACGGTCATTTTGCTACTGTTAATGAATCCGGCGACCCCTGTGAAAGGGTTGTTGGACCCCTAGGTTGAGAACCGCTACTATAGAGAGTTTCCAAAGCTCTACAAGACATTTTTACAGGAACAGACAGCCACAACTTTGTTCCAAGGGGCAGTTGAGGGGTTTGAATCTCCAACCTTGTGGTCAGCAGTCCTACCTGAGGGCATTGTGGGGAGACCCGTGGAAGGAAAGAAGGGACATGGCTCAGAGAAAGGAGGCACGAGGGGACCTCTGGGTGGGGGCTGATGGGAGCCCCCATGGCCATCTCCTCAGGCCCACAGTACGGCAGCCTGGAGCGGGCCTGGGGGGCCATGATGACAGAGGCCGACAAGGTGAGCGAGCTGCACCAGGAGGTGAAGAACAGCCTGCTGAACGAGGACTTGGAGAAGGTCAAGAACTGGCAGAAGGACGCCTATCACAAGCAGATCATGGGCGGCTTCAAGGAGACCAAGGAGGCTGAAGATGGCTTCCGCAAGGCCCAGAAGCCCTGGGCCAAGAAGATGAAGGAGGTGCCTGGTGGGCGGCTGAGCTCAGAGGGGTGCCGGGCGGGGTGTCTGCAGAAGGAGTAGGCACTGCGCTACTCTGAGATTATACCCCTGGGGGGAGCAGCACTACCCACCAGAACGAAATGCCCACAGAGGAGGCAGCCATTACCCAATGGGGAAAGGGCACCTTCCCAGGAAAAGTCCCAGTGGGGCCGGAGGGCAGGTGGCCCTCTGACCCACAGTCGGGGTGGGCCTGCCGCTGCCCAGTGGTAACCAGGTGTCCACAGGGGGCAGCAGGCACTGTCCTCAGGGAAGCATCCACCGATGGGTGGGCACAGCTCTGTAAACTCAGACCTAGCATGGTCTGCCTGTTAAGCAGGAGCTCAGCTCCTGGCGGAGTGGGCAGGTGGGGAGGAGCCGAGCGCCCTGCTCACCAGTGGGAGCCCTGCTCCCTGGTGCGCCCCCCCTCACAGCTGGAGACAGCCAAGAAGGCCTACCATCTGGCGTGCAAAGAGGAGAAGCTGGCCGTGACCAGGGAGATGAACAGCAAGGCGGAGCAGTCGGTCACGCCGGACCAGCAGAAGAAGCTTCAGGACAAAGTGGATAAGTGCAAGCAGGATGTACAGAAGGTGTGGAGCCGGGGCAGGGCGGGGGGAGGGAGGAAGGGTAAACAGGGACGGTGGCATGGGCGGTTGGGGGCCATGGGCTTGAGCCTCGCCCCCTCCCTCCCCCTCGGTGCCCATAGACCCAGGAGAAGTACGAGAAGGTGCTGGAAGACGTGGGCAAGACCACTCCCCAGTACATGGAGGGGATGGAGCAGGTGTTTGTCCAGTGCCAGCAGTTCGAGGAGAAGCGGCTGGTCTTCCTCAAGGAGGTGCTGCTGGACATCAAACGCCACCTCAACCTTGCTGAGAATAGCAGGTACTGTGGCGTGGCGGGCGTGGTGGGCACAGCGACTGCCAGCAGAGGGTGACACTTGCACACTGTGTCAGGAAGGGGAAGGGAGAGGCTCTGCGTTCGGTGGCTGTCTGGGGCAGCTGATGCATAGTAGGTCCTCAAGAGCTTGCACCTGGAGGATGGGGAGTGAGTGACAAGGGTGCAGACTTGGCATCTCTGGGTGTGACCACACTGGTGGTTGGCAGAGCAGTCTGTGCTCGTTCCCTGAATGGGCACCGAGCATGTGGAGAGGGCTGCGGTGAATCCGGGCCCCCATGCCCCCTGCCCACAGTTACCTCCACGTCTACCGGGAGCTGGAACAGGCCATCCGGGGAGCAGACGCGCAGGAGGACCTCAGGTGGTTCCGAAGCACCAGCGGCCCTGGCATGCCCATGAACTGGCCCCAGTTTGAGGTGAGGGGGTGTGGAGGTGGAGAAGGGTGGCTTGAAAAGGCTAGAAGGAGTCTCAGGAGCAGATGGTCAGCCTGACCGCTCTTCCATGCCTCCCCCGCCCCCCACTGCAGGAGTGGAACCCAGACCTCCCTCACACCACTGCCAAGAAGGAGAAACAGCCCAAGAAGGCAGAGGGGGGGACGCTGCCCAATGCCACAGGGGCAGTGGAGTCTATGTCCCAGGCGGGGGACCGTGGCAGGTGAGTGCCTCCTCGTGGAGCTTCTTGAGGGGGCTGGGGCTGGGGGCTGAGAGACCCACCCAGTGGGACAGCTGAATTTGATCCCGGGAGGCCATCAATTACAGCAAGCGCAAGCATATGCTCCTCTGGAAGACAGTCCCAGCTGATCTGTCCAGAGCCCTCAGGGTGCCAGGCGCAGGGTGCCAGGCTCTAAGCATCTGTGCACATGAACTCATCTGGACTGTGGATACCCCCAGTCACTGAGGGAGAGATGCCGCCCAGAGTGAGTAAGTGACTTGCCCAAGGTTCCAAGCTGGTTCATGAGCTTCAACAGCCAAACAGATGCCCTAGTGCTCTGGCACCAGACTCGTCCTAACCATTAGGCTGCCCTACCCCCCTCAGACAAGGGTATTCCCCAAAGCGGCCTCCAGTGCCCTCTCGGACAATGCGGGTGGCTCACGACTCCCTCCCACTCAGAAAATCCCTGCACGGTGGGGCCAGGGCTCTAGAATTCGCAGGAGGGACGGTCTGATTTCATGTCTGGTCCTCGCTCTGCACGTGCCACAGTGTTAGCAGCTACGACAGGGGTCAAGCCTACGCCACCGAGTGGTCGGACGATGAGAGTGGGAACACCTTCGGGGGCAACGAGGCCAACGGGGGCGCCAACCCCTTTGAGGATGAAGCCAAGGGCGTGCGCGTGCGCGCGCTCTACGACTACGACGGCCAGGAGCAAGACGAGCTCAGCTTCAAGGCTGGTACGCGGGCGGGCGGGCGGGCGGGGCGGCCAATCCGAGGACGGGGTGGGCTGCTGGGGAACCAGGCCGGGTCTAGATTGGGGGTGTGGCCAGGGCAGGGGCGCAGCGTGTGTGCAGGGGGAAGGCCGACCTGGTGGGGCAAGGTTGACACGTTGGGCTGCTAACGGCCAGGTCAGCAATTCCCGGAAAGACCAAGCTTTCTACTTCTGCAAAGAGTCCTGTGGCGTTGTGGTTTAAGCGTCGGGCTGCAAGCCGCAAGGTCATCAGTTCGAAACAACAGCCACTCCGAGGGAGAAAGCCGAGGCTTTCTACTCCGGTAAACTATGAATCGGCGTCACCTGGATGGCAGTGAGCCTAGGGCTCCGGCCTCGGGAACCCTCAGGAGCAAGTCTACCTAGCCTGTGCCGGTCACTGTTGAGTCGGAATGGACTTGATCGCCCTGAGAGAGCTTGGAGGCGGGCCTTGGGCCAGTGGGCGTAACCACTGCCCAGGGGCGGGGCCTGAGGGTCCGAGATGCTAGTACTGTACCAAGGAAAGGCAGCTGGAGGCGGGGCCTGAGCTCTATGGGCGGGGCCTGGTTCCAAATGCTCTGCGTCGCTGGCCTGGACTCCAGGGATGGGTGGGTAGTGGGTAGCCCTGAGACTGGGGAGGACGTCCAGGCTGGGGCTGTTTGTTGGGCTTGCTCGCCAAGCAGGGGGTGTGAGTGTGGTGTGGACAAACTCTGCTTTCTGTCTTCCTCCGCAGGAGACGAGCTCACCAAACTGGGCGAGGAAGATGAGCAGGGCTGGTGCCGCGGGCGGCTGGACAGCGGGCAGCTGGGCCTCTACCCCGCCAACTATGTGGAGGCCATCTAGCTGGCCCGTCCGCACCACACTCCCCCTCACTCACTCCTTGCCCACCGCCACCCCCTCCACTCTCGTCGCCCTGCCCTCGCCATAGAGTTCCAGACATATTTTCCGATCAAGCTTTTATTTTTTTAAAAGTCAGAACAAAACAAAAAACTACGAAGAGACAGAAGCATTTGCAGGCCTGCCTGGAGGCTAGGAGGTGGGGCTTGGGGTGGAGGCTCTAGGGCAGGTGAGGGTCTGAGCACGTGGCCAACCGCTCCCAACATCTGTTCCTCAGATCCCACCAAAGAGGCTCCTGAGCCCTGAGGGAGGTCTCCTGGACCCTTCCTCCCTGTGGGCTTCCCCCACTGCACTCCCCCAAGGCTGCCAGCACCCGGCCTCGCTTTTCTCTGGGCCTAGTTTCCTAACTTCCTTCCCTGCCCTGTCCTGTTCCCTCTCCATCACTACCCCACTCTCAAAAGTCCCAGAAAAAGGGGCCCCCAGTTTCTAGTTGGCCTCCCTGCCTTCCCTCGGGTACCATCTTCCCTCTCCATGGTAACCCAGGCACCATGGTACCCTCCTCCCCCCACGCATGAAGCGGGTGTGCTGGAGGAGGTAACAGTCTCCCTGAGGTGTAGGAGAATGAGTGATGCCCCTTCTCAGCTCCAGGCCTGATTGGCCCCTATCTCCAGCTGTCAGCATTTGGGGCCGACTGTTCCTCAAAGCTGTAGCCCTCAGTAGTTTTCAGAGCCCCTGCCCACCCCCACCCCTGAGCATAAGTCCTCTGGCAAGGAATCGCAGGGGTGGGGGGTAGGGGGTGAAGCCCAGGGGATAGCCAGCAACGGTAGCAGCCACCTCCCATTGCCCAAGAGAAGCACATCTTATCCCCTTTCCCCGTTCCACCTCCCAGGCCCACAGCACCAGCCTCAGTGAGCCAAGCCTTGGGCCCACAAGGCCCTTAGCCACCCAGCCCCTTTCCCCTTGCCTGGCCTGTCTGGAGGGACACTGTGAGGCCCATTGAAGCTTCCAGCCTGGGACCATCAGGGCAAGGCCTGTAGCCGCTGGAGGAAGCGTGTGTGGCAGGGGGGTTGGCCTGGCCCACAAGAGAGCAGGACAATCACTGTGTCATCCTCATGTCAGGAACAACAGCCCCTTTGTGGCAGCCCTTCCAGCTCCCCAAGCCTGAGCCTCAGGTAAAGGTGGAGGGTCAGGGAGCAGCGGCTGTGGGGATGGGACCCACGGTGCCAGCCTCCCCCTTAGGCCTTGGGGACAGGGCGGCTTGGGAAGCAGACCTGAAGAGGTGTAGGAGTGGCTCTCAGGTAGAGGGGTCTTCAGGGGCCCCTGAGACAGGAGCCTAAGGTTTCCTGCTTGTGGTTGATGCCATTTCTGGGCCTGAGGTCCACAGGCACCTCTCCTTTTCTGCCTCGGGTACCCCAGCTCCCTCTGTCACCCTTGGACCTCTTCCACCCCCTGCTGCTGCTTCCCACGGCCCACTGTTAAGAGTGGTAGACCCTGCCCGCTCCGTGTGGGCGCAGGAGGGTCCTGGGAGACTCTGGCGGGAGCCTGAGTTAAGGGGGCTTTCTTCATGGCTCCTCTTCTGCCTGTGCTCACACAGCCTCTCCCGTGCCCTGAGATGGGCCCTGGGCCCTCAGAGCCGGAGTGAGACCCTCCCAACACTACAAGAGAAGCCACTTCCACCTCTCCTCGAGACGGGCATGGGAATGAAGGCTTCTCCTCACCACAACCCTTGAAAGGCGGAAGCTGGCACAGCCGCACCTCGGGGCCTGGGCTCCCCCCCAATCTGTGCCACTGGCTGCCCAAGGCCTGGAGAGGGATGGTGGCCCCGGACCCCAGGCCAGTCCCCCTAGCTGCCCTCTGGGCCATGACTCGAAACCCCACCTCCTTTGAGCAGCATCCTCCATGGCCCTGTCTGGGTCCACCCCCTCTCGGTCCCCGGAGGGAGGGTCTCCCTGGAAGACCCCCTTGGCTCTGGGGGCCTGGCCCCACCTGTCCGTGCCGGTGTTGGGGCACTCAGCACCCAGCCTGGGGGATGTACCCTCAGCCTGCCCGTAGCCCCCTGCCCGCCCCCTTGATGCTGCACGGGCCTGCCCCGGCGGGGGTCAGCAAGTCATGTGTTCTGCCCTCAGTTAGCCACCATTCTGCAGCCTGGTTCTGTGAGGAGCCGGGGCCGCCCCGCCCCCGCTGCCTGCCCCCTAGGCTTCCTGACTCCATTAGTCCTGACACCCGTGAGTCTCCGAGAAGTGCTGTGGTCTCAGCAGTGCACCTGTTTTGTACATGATTGTGTAATTTAAAGGTATATAAATATAAATATATATATATATAAGCTGTGATCGTATGACTGTGGATAAAATCCGGAACTGTGTCAACCTGGCTGACTTGTGTCATCTTGCTGTCTCAAACACTTTCTGTCCTAGACGTTTTGGAGGCTCTCGGAGCCCCTCTAGGATGGGCGGTGGGGCCGAGGGACTGGGTGACCAGGGGCAGGGTCTTGTCTCTGCGGGACAGGGTTGTGCTTGGGGACTCCAGGCTCTGGCTTCCTAGTGTCCTGGGGGCTAGTGACGCATGTTGGCCAGGAGAGCTGGGGCTATGGTCTCACACCTCACATTGAAGGGTGAGCTTGACCCCTGAAATGCTAAAACTGAGGTACACGGTTCCTGGGTACCCAGGGCTGGCTCTCCGGGGTGGGATATTGTGTCACACCACACCTTCCGGTGTCCTGCCTGACCTCCGGAGATATTTCTGTGTGGGACCGCTGGGAGGGCCCCTCCAGCAAGACTTTTCAGAAGAGTGAGGGAACTCAGACCTCTGACTTCTCAACTCTGTCCAGCCAGGCTCAGACCCTGCCCTGACCTCAGTCCCAAGCCTGTGCCCACAGCCTTGCCCAGCCCTGTCCTGCCCTTGTCCCCGCCTCCGTCCCTGCTCCAGCCTGCCCAGCCTGAGTTAGAGCTCTGGGACATGCCGGGGGTCCCAGGTCCAGCCCTGGCTCAGCCATCGGTTCCCAACGAGCCCACCCTGACTCCCACCCACGGCCCTGACTGGAGCCTCTGGCTCAAAGCTGCTGCAGGACAGTCGTCCAAGACCACTGCTCTCTCAGGCTCGGATGTCCTGGAGGAAGGGAGGACTGCTTCAGCTGGACCTTGAAGACCCGCGCCACCCTCTTCTCACCTCCTGTTATTCTGAGAGCCAGCTGAGTGGATGCCGACTCATTGGTGACCCCCAGAGGCAGAGTCCAGCTACCCCCTGGGGTTTCCCAGGCTGTACTTTTTGTTTATTTTTGGTTTTTTGCCCAGTTGTACTTTTCACAGGAGCAGATGGCCAGGCCTGGCTCCTGCGGAGCCGGTGTGTGGACGAAAGCCTTCAGCCTTTGGTCAGTGGCCAGTCACCACTGCCGCCAGGCCTCCTTCCCAGCCCTCCACCTCCATTCTTCAAGTCCAGAAAGGTGGCCTTGTCTTATGGTGCCGGCTGTCCAGCTGAGCTATGAGGCACCCTAGATTCGGGGCAGGGAAGGGGTTCTGCAGAGGAAGAGGGACTCTTCATTTGCTGCCAGCACCCTGCGTGGGGGTCACTGGATGAGTGGGTGCTCACCAAGGGGACAGGGAGCAGATCTGCTCAGCAGGAAAGGGAACGGTGCCATCTGAACCCCCCATGCCACACCCCTCACCCTCTCCCCTCCTCCCTCCAAATTCAGGCCCACCTGGGGACACGCAAGCAGGTGGCTCCAGGGATGCCGCTAGGGGCAGGGCTGGCAGGCTAGAGACAAAACCAGTTCAGCAGATCCAGGCCGGAGTCTGGCTGGGGTCCAGTCTGCCCCCTCCCCGGGCGTCGGTAGACAGTGGGACCCAGTGAGACACAGGTGGGGGGAGGGCTGCGTCCCCGCTCAGGCCGCTCCCACTAACCAATGCCAAGGGCCTGTTTGTTCACTGTCAGGGGTAAACTTTCTTCTGCAGACAATAAGAAGGCTGGAGGCAGAAGGCAGCACGGGGCAAGATTTAACCCTTGGTGGTCTGGGGCACCGGTTCTCCTGTCTCGCAGAGACTGTCCTCCGAGGCCCAGGGTGGTGGAGCCCAGGGACAGCGTCCAGATACGAAGCCGGAGGTGTGGAAGGGCAAAGTGCTGCCTGCCCGTGGGGAACAAGTGACGGGGGTCCCATTGCTGGTTCTGCTACCGATGGGCTGTGTGAGTGTGACCAGTCACGCAGCCCCGTCCAGCCTCTGGCACAACGTGGCCTAACCCCTCCCGCAGAGTTTCCGTGGGCGGCTTCATGGCAGAAAAGCCACAGACGTGTCTGGCACATAACAGCTGAGAGGCCAGGACAGGGACGTTGCTCGATCAAGTCCAGGTGACGCCCACGGGGAGGGAAGCCCGTCCCATCCAGCACACACACACACAGGACACACACCCTGCCCCCAGTGCCCACACGGGGCTCACAGCTTCATGCATGCGCTGTGGGGGCCTTCGGAAGTCAGAATTTCACACCTGAAGCCCCTGCCTCTGCCAGCCCGCTCACCCACCACCACTGTGGGGGCCAGCTCCCCCTAGGTGAGGGAGCAGAGATGAGCCCTGTGCCACCTCGAAGGGGTGCCAGCCCCTGCCCCCAGCAGAGCAAGAGGACATGGACCTGCCTCTTCTTCCATCCTGTCCGTAGAGCTTTCCTCGGGCCCAGGCCCACCTCCCCCAACCAACCCCATGGCTGCCTCTCCTTGACCTCGAAGCCTCGCTGCCCTTTCCAGGCTCCTGCCAGTTAACTGTCCTTCAGACTCCACTGGTCGCCACCTCCCCCAGGCAGCCTCCTTGGGGGCATTCCAGCTCCTGTGACCACACCCCAGCGCAGACACCGACCTGGGACACAGACCCATTCTCTAGTATCTTTATTATCCTTTCATGGGGTTCCCCTGCTACCCAACTCAGGTGAGTACGTTCCCCAGCACCGTTCCAGGGGGATGGGGTGGGATGTAGCAGAGAAAGCACTGGGTTGCCAGCCAGGAGTCCTGGCTTGGCCACAAACAGGCTTAGTGATCTCGGCCAGGTCACTGCCATCCTGTGGAGGCATTAGGCTCAGCTTGGGCCATTCTGGGGTCCCAGCCTGAGGCCGGAGGGAAGTCCTTCCCTGGGGGACAGTGACCACTAAGAACAGCCCCATTGTATGTGGGGCCACTCCAGTGGCCTGGCAGGTATTCCGTCAGGACTATGGGGCAGCATGCTCACCTTAGGGTCCCTGGCTCCAGAGAGCACTCTTACAGCCCTGGGAGCATGGGCTACCCCCTCCCTGGCTCTAGCCTGTGGGCACGCCAGCAGCCTCCCCTCTCCACCCCTGCACAGGGCAGGGCAGGCAGGAGGGAGGCTCTCAGATGGGGTGCACAAACTGGTAGACCAGGCGCTGGGAGACATCCGGCTTCCTGATGATGCCCTTCTTGTAATACTGGCGGATGGAGCGGCTCAGCTTGTCGTAGTTCATGGCGGGCCGGTTCTTCCGGATGCCCCACAGCCGGGCCACCTGGGCCGAGTCCTCGATTTTGAAGATGCCTTCCCAGAGGCAGGAGGATCCCAGGAGAGCCGGCCCGAGGCAAGCCGGGGAGAGGAGGGGTGGGAGAGAGAAAGATGGGTTAGGCGCTCGAGAACCAAGGGGATCAGTCCCAGGGCCTCCCTTTGCTCCCCCATTCCCCCTAGTGGCACCTTGCCATCCCAGCCTGGGGTTCCGGACCGCAACGTGCCACGTAAAAAAAATGTGTCCTGTAAATCCTACCCTCTATGCCTGTAAAGTGTCAAAGAGCAAAGATGTCGCTCTGAGGACTAGGACCCGCCTGACCGGAGCCACGCATTTTCCATGGCCTCGTCGGCTTGCGAAAGCGGGGCAGCGAATCAAGAAGACACGAATTGAGGCATTTGGACGATAGTACTGGTGAGGAATATTAACAGGAGGACGCACTGCCCGGAGAACAAACAGATGTGTCCTGGAGGAAAGACAGCAGAATGCTCCTTGGAAGCAGGGATGGCCAGACTTGGCGTCACTCTGTATGGCCTGGAAAGGCTAGCATACTTCTGGAAGTAGCGGGTCGGTTACGAAGAGGGCGCTCAGTGGGATGGATTGGCAGAGTGGCTGCAACAATGGGCTCGAAACAATGATGGGGATGATGGTACGGGGCTCACGCAGTGTTTCGGACCAGTAGACCCATGCCATTATGGGTCTGGACCAGTAGACCCATGCCATTATGGGTCTGGACCAGTAGAACTATGCCATTATGGGTCTGGTCCAGTAGAACCATG